TTGTCAGATTCAAAATGGCCAATAGCAGTCCATTCCAGCTCACCAATGCCTAGGATATCCATATCTATGTGTTCCATTTCATTTTTGACAACTTCCAATTTTCCTAGATTCAGATTTTGTACATTCCAATTATTAATGGATGTTTACAACTGTTTCTCCTCATTTTGAGTTGTGTCCCACCAGCAAATGAAAGTTCCGAAAGCTTTACTCCATTCGCATGATCACAATCAACTCTACTTTGAGGAGACAGCTCTTTCCCAGCCATCATATTTCGAGTGCCTTCCAAACTGAGGGGCTCATCTTCCAGCATTATATCTAATAGTATTTTTTTTTTTTGCAGTTTTTCATCAGAAATTTATTATTTTTAATAAAAATATCATTATAGTTAATTATAATAGCAAAAACATTTTTTTTTTGGGGGGGGGTAAGCCCAGCTTACATGTATCAGTAGACCTATAAGGCTACAACTCTATGCCAATTTACTTTTTTTTTTTACATGAGAGAACTTTAGTTTTACATTCATTCCATCATATATCATCTCATTGCCATGGTTCCAATCCCCTCCATGCATCATCAACTAACCAAAGGGTATATCCTAGAAGCCTGCCCCCTACACTTCCTCCCCCCACCCCCCTGCCCTAGTTTTCAGCCCTCAGTCCCTTTCCCTCTTTGGATCCAAAGTCCCCAGGGCTTCATTACTCCACGTCATCGTCTCTGTCTCCATCTCAGGTATCTCTGTTTCTCTGGGTACTAATAGTATTTTGATGCTATACATAATGTTTCAATATTCTGGTGCTTTCTGACAGTGTCCCACTGCTAGTCATTAGTTTTTTGGTGGCTAAACATTTTGGTAGCATAGTGGATTACAAGCTGAACTGCAAACTGTAAGGTCAACAGTTCAAATCTACCAGTCACTCCACAGGAGAAAAGATGAGGTTTTCTTCCCCCTTTTTTACTGCCTCAGAAACCCTATACAGGTTTGCTATGATCATGGCACACAACCACCAAACACCAAACATTCAGAAGTTGTCTGCCTCTCCTTCTTCCTAGTTTATCTTAGTCTGGAAGCTCAGCTGAATCCTCTCCACCATGGATGACCCTGCTGGTACTTAAAATACTGGTGGAATAGCTTTTAGCAGCACAGCAACATGCAAGCCACCACAGTACAACAAACTTACAGACAAGTGATAGTTCCAACTTATAGCGACCCAGTTAGGAAAGTAGCTAGTGGTTTAGAACTGCTGACCTTATGATTACTAGTCCAGTGCTTATCCTAAAGTGCCACACCAGGGACAGAAATTCCTTTAGTTATGGTTTGATTCACACTGTAGTTCACATCGTGCTTTGGGAGGAAATGTGTCACAAAATAACAGCATTGTTGTATATTCTCTTTCTTTAGGAATCCCTATGTGCTGCTAGGATTCTTCAGCACAATTCTTATTCTTATTTATTTTTTTAGCAATTGTGAATTGAGTGAAGGTTTTCAGCCAAGATCAACAGCTTTACATTCAATACACTATATACTTTGTTTCATCTCAATGATTATAATCCTCTCTGCAACAAGTTATCCTACTTCCTCTCTGTGGTTCCCCCACTTACACCTTTTATTTCACAATGAACAAAGCAAAAATATTTTATGTACATATACAAAACAAAAAATATATATTCATTTAAATGTCCAAAGGGCACATTCTGCAAGCCAGCCTCCTGCCTGCAGGCACACAGCCTTACTCAGTCCGTGGATCTAGAGCCTGCAGCTGCTTTATCTCTCCATGCCACTGCCTCTGCTGTCACCGCTTTTCTAGGTAGGATCTCACTCTCCACTCTTGCTCTTCCTTCTTGTTGGTCATGGGATTGTCTGTTCCTGAAGTGAAACATTAATGATTCCCCCTTTCAGTTACACATCTTCTACAATTACAGGTGTGACAATCATAATTAATCCTGCTAACAATTACTTATAATTGGATCATAAAATCCTATCACCATCATCCCTCATCCCCTTACACTAGATCCATCTGCAAAAGAGGGAAACTTCAGTGGGGATTTTACCAACAACTCTTTAAAAAACAAAAATGAAACAAAACAAAACAAAAAAACAAGTAAAACAGCTACCTCTATCATGTAGGTCTCTTCCCCACTGAATTGACTCCGACCCTTCATTGAAGATCTGTTGTCCATAAATGGATGGCTGTACTTCTGGGTTCTCGGTTATGTTCCACTGATCTGTGTCTGTCATTGTACCAATACAGACTCTTTTGAAGCCCCACTGTATCTTCTTTTTTCCTTCTCCTTTTCTGGAATTCTTATTACTTTTGATGGTGTTTCCCATCTCTTAGGCTTTCTTCATTGTTTTTCTGATTGTTTCTCAAATTAGTATGCAGGAATTTTTCTTTATGTCACTGTTTTTTTTCCCCACTAACTTACTTCTAGTTGTGTCCTTCCATTGTGTTATCTAGTTCTGATATTCTGAATTTTAATTATTTTTGTATGGTTTCTAATTGCCTATTGAGCTTGTCATTTTGTTCTTAGATTGTTTTCCTGAATGATCTAGGGTTTTTTTTTTTCTGTTATTCCTCAATCTTTTTTGAGAATTCTGTCTTAGTTATCTAATCTTGCTGGTGGTGGTTATGTGCCGTGGAGTCAGTTCCAACTCATAGAGACCCTGTACAGGGTTTCCGAGGCTGTAAATCTTTATGGGAGCAGAAAGCCTCATCTTTCTCCCTCAGAGCTGCTGGTAGTTTTGAACTGCTGACTTTAAGGTTCACAGTCCGATTCGTACCCACTATGCTACCAGAGCTCCCTAGTATCTAATCTTACCATAACATAAAAACCACAAGTACTTTTAACAACCAGAAACTGATTCTCTCACAGTTTAGAAGGCTAGAAGTCCACATTCAGAGAGCTGGCTCTTGAGAACGGGTTTCTCTTTGTTGGCTCTGGGGAAAGGTCTTTGTCTCTTTTCAACATCTGTAGGCCCAGTGTTCCTTGGAGATCTCAGTTGACACAAAAACCATAACCATCACAATCTTACATATTTTTGAATTTTAGGTCTATTATCATTTCTTCCTCAGGAATGTTTTCTTTCCTTTAATTTTGCTCATTTGTTTGAGCCATCTTATTCTGTTTCTTAAGGAGCTCTGGTGACGTAGTGGTTACGAATCGCAAGGTCAGCGGTTCGAAACTACCAGCTGTTCCACGGGAGAAAGATGGGGCTTTCTGCTCCCATAAAGATTTACAGCATTGGAAACCCTGTACAGGGTCGCTGAGTCAGAACCACGGCACATAACCACCACCACCACCATCCTGTTTCTTGATATATTGTGTGCTGTCTCCACCGTATAAATATGTTGTATTTATATATATATTGCTTTCTTTTGTTTTGCTAGATTAGAGAAAGTGGGTGGATGTGCTGCATTGATTTCCAGGTAGATGGGGTGGCAGTAGTGGGGGAGGAGACAGGGCAGACAGGTGTGTCACCAATCACCTGGTGGGCATGCCAGCAGCAGGGGATGGGTTGGTCAGGCCAAGTGCTGCTGTCAGACTTGTGGCCCAAGGGTGTAGGATCCCATTCACCAGGTGGGTGGAGCAATGAGATGGTGGACATATCCCATCACTGGACATTTGTCTTGTGTGGAGTATGTGCTACCACTTGCCAAGTAGTAAGACTAGCATGGGGGTATTGGCAGGTGGGGGTCAATGCATGGGGGCAATGGCAGTTGGGGTGGGTGTGTCACTGATGTGGCACTGCAGTTGCTGGGTGGCAGGGCTGAGGGTGTCTCATGTTGCTGGGCACTGGGAGGTGAAGAGAGGGGGTACTCTCCTCTAACCACTGGACATGATTGCCAACCATTCCCTAGAGATCGCTCTGGTGGAGGGGCCTCCTTCTGACACTATGTAACTATTGCTATGTAGCTCTTAATGGTCAGGGACCACACTGGTGAGTGGTTCTGTCTCTGGTTCCTGCCTCCTTCCCTGCTCTGTGGTCACCTGGAAAGCCTGGAGCTCTTGCCAACCCCTTACTATAATGTCCTGCTTACCTTGCTTCACTCTGGATTTGTCCAGTTTCTCTGTCTCCTAGTGGGAATTCTGTAAAATTACCTTTGCTCCTCACCCAGGATCACTGCTTGCTTTGTCTCAATGTCAAACCACCCCAGGTCAGCTGGCAGGGCATCTGATTCATAACTCTTGTTGCTGTTTTCATTTTCTCCTTCCTATCAGCGTTGGATAGAATGCTTCATCCTTCTTTTTGATGCTCAGGGTTCCAGGGTTTCACTTGGTTTCTCAGGTCTTTGTTGGAGGGTGACAGTGTGGTGTGTCTAAAAAATTGTCTTGACCTGTCTCTTCACCTCTTCAGTGACTTCAATTTGAAGTGTTTTTTGGTATTCACTTCCTTAGCTCTTTACCTGTACCTCTGATGGTACATTTGAGCAGGGTCTGGACCTGGTTGATCTGGACCTGTGATAGCCCCTCATACCAGTTACCTTAGTAAATAAAGCCCATTTCTCCAGAGGAAAGAATTTCCACATGGCCCTGACTCCTGACACAAGAGTCAGCTTCCCTGTGAAGATCTAATGCTAAAAACCAAAGGTACCACCAGATAGGAACCCCTCTGTCCTCATTCTAATACCAGATCAGACTCATTATCTTAACTTTTCATAGCATAACAAAGAACCAAACTGGAATATTTAAACTAAGGCCACATTCATAGCTCAGGACAATAGTTAACAAACCAGGTTCACATGGCTCACAAAATACAGGTTGTTTACTTTCAAGGAAGGGGTCCCTAATTATTATACAGTCCCCTCAAAGCCTGGCCTATCTTCACTCTATTCAAATGGTTTCTGTCTCAGGGCAGTCCCACCCTCCCACCCCTCCACTATACCACGTGCTTCATCAGTGTCTCTTGTCCTTCTATCAGGTACAGGCCTTTCTATTCTCCTGAGGCTTTCTGACCCATTGCTTGCAACATATTTCCCTGGTTGGCTCACTGGCTGAATTACCTCATGCTACGGCAGATTCTCTAGCGTCCCTGTTTCTAACACTATACTCAGCCTCGTAGTAAATGACACTATGCATATATATGGCAGGTTGTTGTTAGGTGCTGTAGACAGTTCCGACTCAAAGTGACCCTATACACAACAGAACAAAATACTGCCCAGTCCTGTACCATCCTCATAATCATTAAGCTTGAGCCCACTGATGCTGCCACTGTGCCTATCCATCTCATTGGAGGTCTTCCTCTTGTTCACTGACCTTCCACTTTAGCTAGCATGATATCCTTCTCCAGGGATTGGTTCCTCCTGGTAATATGTCTAAAATATGAGAGACGAAGTTTCTCCATCCTGGCTTCTAAGGAACATTCTGGTTGTACTTCTTCCAACACAGGTTTATTTGTTCTTCTGGCAGTTGATGGTACTTTTAATATTCTTCTCCAATACTGTAACTCAAATCCATTAACTGTTCTCTTACTCACTGTCTTCCTTACTCACTGTCCAACTTTCACATGCACATGAGGTTACTGAAAATACCATAGCTTGAGTCAGGAGCACCTTAGTCCTCAAACTGACATCTTTACTTTTGAACACTTTAAAGAGGTCTTGTGCAACAGATGTGCTAATGCAGTATGTGTGCTTAGTAAATACTGGTGCTAGGCTTAACTATGGCAAGATCACATGGGCAGCAGAAAGGTAACTTGAAGTCTACAAAAAGGCAATGGAGAAGAACAGTAATGGCACATGCCTAAAACTTTCCACAGTGCCCTCCCAGAGAGCAGTGTCAGTATGACAGTGACGATGAAATGGATCTTTTTTTTTTTGTTTAATCACAGCTCAATACTCACACTACTAAAGCTACTCAACATTCTCCTATGGCCTTAAATAAAAGATAGGGGAGCATGGTGGGATAAGAAATGAACTTTATACAGCCTAAAGAAGAAGCATTGTCAAGCACATTTTGGGTTTTTTTCTTTTAATTATTTACCAGATTAAAAAAGAAAAAATAGTGATTGTTTCTCTTCACCTCCAACATTTCATTTTACCAAGGTAGAGTGGGAGAGAAATTTGTTGAACAGTGATTCATGCTCCTGGCCTGGAGCAAATTCTTCCCCTCTGCACTACACCATCTCAGACAGAGGGAGGGAGCAAACGGCTCCAGGCAGAAATACTTATACTTCGGCAGCAACACAATGGCAGTATGGCTGTCACCTTCTTTTCTCCATGTTGCCAGAGCATTCAGGCCCTTTTCTGTCTGTCTGTCCCCCCACACCATCCTTCCTAATTCATCAAGCGGAAAGATGGGACTGCAGGAGGCAGGGGTAGGTGTAGAACAGGGACCAGGGAAGCATACAGAAGATACGGCAGAATGCCAACTTCTGCTTCTATTGCACATCCTGGCTCAAATCCCCTGCCCTGAGCTATGGGCTACAAAATGAAATGCTTTTCAAATTCACACAGAGAACCTGTTGTGTGCCAGGCTCATGAAGGGGAGGTGTGTTGTTGTGTGGCTTGTTCTGGAATATATATAGTTATATATGTGTGTGTGTATATATATACATACACACACACACACATATTTTAAGTTATTCCATGATGTGGATAAGGCAAGTATTACGCCTCTTAAAAAAAAAAAAGCATATGGAATTTGGACATCTTGAGGCCCTGTAGTCATGTGGGCCTCACCCATCAAGTTCAAAAGACCAAGAACAATCCTTTCTTCCTGTCAGCAGATCAGTGTAAGGTGAAAGAGGCAGGAGAGTCCACCAACCACATCAGAGCCCCCCACCCATCATGGCTCTCAGACACTCAAGAGTGATCTCTTTTCCGAACACCTGAAGAATTGAACAAATGACCCTAGAAAGAAACCATTCACAATGTTAATGTTTCACCACAAAGCAGAAGCTGTTAAGTCCCCTCAAATATAACCTTAAATGTTTGATTCTCATTACCAATGGGAACAGACTAGAACAGGAACAGGTTGATTAATTGATCTTAGACACAGAATAAATCCCTCTTTAGAAAAAAAAAAAAAAAAACCAGGGGCAGGGGAGAGGACTGACTTTGATTTGGCAAAGCTGCAAATCTTTCTTTCACCTTCATTGGCTGGAGCAAAGCTGGTGGGTGAAGACGAACTTAACTGAGCCAATGTCAAGAACTGCAGGCGATGAGAGACAACAGGTCAAACACAGAACTGTATAAATTGTGGCACTAAAAAGATGAGAAGGCAGGTCCATGACACCAACTTGAAGCAAACCATTGGAGCATCGCTTTATCTGTCCTGTAGTAAGTGGTAGCATCCAGATACATCAGAATAGTTCTCCTTCCTCCTCTCTGCAACAAATTTTGAGTGTTTCTCATTTAAATAACTATGTACACACACATAAAAGCCAGGTCTCTCTTTTACATGAGGGTCCTTCACTTGAGGGTCCTACAATGGCTTTAGAGAGTCGGTTCCATATGCCTTTTTGGAGATTTACTGCTTGGGACCAAACCTGCAAGGAGAAGAAAAGACTGAGTAACATAACAAAGATGAAAACATCCTACTGATGAAGGGACTGAGTCTTAATTTAAATAACAAACATGCAACTCCCTTATAGGCCTTTGGTATCCCAGAAAACTGAGAGTTGGGATGAGCTCCACGATTATCAATTCTACCCTGGGCCTCCCTACTCTGTTAGCCAGGGGCCATGTGTCCACCACAACCATGGGAACACAGCTTCATACCTCCCTCTGATAAGGATAGTTTCTCAAGTTCAGCTTCAAGTTCAGCATCTGAGATCCTAGGGCTAGGCACACTGTTGGTATAAAACATCTCAGGGGGGTTATCGGGCAGATCCATAGGTTCTTTGGTGGTGTCCTGAAGGAGGATGTCCAGTTCTTTCTCCAGTTCCTCACTGTCAAAATCTGGAAAGAAAGGATAACATAAAGATAAATAAACGCTGACTCTTTTGTAGAGTCAGCTTTACAAAAATTCCCAGGCCTCCTGGCAGGTTAAAAAAACAATATGTTCATGAAGTTACTGGAAATAGGGGATACACCTTCAAGCAAATACTCTTTTTTCAAACACAGAGCTAAATTATGGAATTGATCTTGTTTCCCCTTACCCTTGAAAAAGGCTCTTCTGATGAGAAGTCTTGTGAATAAGGAACACTGGAGCACAGAAGGGTCATTACTATAGTCAATCCATTAAGGAGGAAATGCCAAATCCCGACAACTATACATTAATGTGAAGTCCTGGTGTGCCACTATAGGATAAGCACTGAACTGCTCATCACAATGTCAGTGCTTGAAACCCACCAGCTGTTCCTCAGAAATCCTAAACAGGGTTGCTATGAGTCAAACCAACTCAACTGGTAGCAACAATTCATTAATGTAAGCCTTAGACAAAGAGTAAGATAGAACCCTGTCTGAATCAGAAAAAGCAAATCTATGCTCAAACCTATCAACATACCAAGGAATTGAGGTTCTCTTAAAATAAATAAATGAAGGAAGGAAGAAAGAAAGGGAGGGAGGGAGGGAGGGAATAATCAGCTTGTTAACAACTCACCTAAACCATTGGTTACCCCACCGGCCAGAGTCTGAGAAACTTCATCCTGGGTGTCACATAGCTATAAGAGAAAAGAGCAAGGCCTTGACCTGTGAAAAGTCTTTGAGTACCTTAAAGTCTTTGAGGACAAATGCCCAGGGTTATGAAGCAATATTGCCACATATGAAAACCAAGGAAAGCTTCCCCAAGGTCATCTGGTAAAAAAAGCAAAGTCAGATCTGCCCTCACTCCCTTCCCTTCGGGTATGTGCCACCCTAGGCCTTTTCTGTACCTCCTGGATCTGATCCACAAGGCTCTCTGCTTTCTCTACTGTGACATCCTTCATGGAGAGTTTTAGTGCTCCGACCCCTGCCTGGTAGGCATTAAAAACCTAAAGAGAAAGAGCTGTCAGTGCAAATGGTAAAATCCAAAAAATCAGTTTTTCATCTCTGAAAGTCAGTTTTATTTTTTGCTGCCCATATCAGATTCACCCACACCCAGTGGGGCCCAAATTTAAGAACAGGAAAGGCAAAGGTAGACTCCAGCTATATCCCCAAAAGAACCCAGGCCCATTCCAAGTAACACTTAGCAAACAACAAAGACACAGTGGGGGAAGAGCAGTGTGTGCTGGGGGGACCAGCCAAGTAAAGGAGCAAAGGGAGAGGGGCTACCATCTGGTCTGTCTGGGAGGCATAGATCCGGTCTAGGATGCCTTGAACGGTGTCCAGCTTGGCATGCAGGGCCTCGATGCGCTTTTCTGTCCGCTGCTTGGCCTTGAGAGACCTCAGTGCCTAAGGAGGCATGGAAATACAGGTCAGGGTCAGACTGAGTTGGCCAAAGGTGAGAGGAAGACAACCAATCCCAGATGGTAAGACTATCTATCCCAGGCCTTATTCCTTCTCACTTGAAAAAATAGCTGTGGTAGCTGGACCACCTGCAGACTGTTCCCCTTGGAGGCCAAGCAGGCTGCTCTCTGAATTCCTGGGCACCTGGGTGCCTGTTCAGGACAGAACTAAGCAGCTGGTGGGAAAAAGACAGAACTTACCAGTTGTTTCTTTCCCGCTCGGCAAGCCCGGCGGGCTTCTTCTTTACACCTATGAAACAAAGAAACACAAGCAAAATAATCATGTCACACGATAGGGGTGTCAGGATCCTAAAGAGTCCTGAGCAAATTTAATTAAAGCAGTTTCAAATCTGAACACCAAATTCATTGATGTTCCACCCAATGGCAAGAAAACTGATGCTCAACAATCAATCTACTGCCAAATTCAGGCAGCAAGTCTATCCCATTGGGTTTCAAAAAATGTTGGGTTCTCTCACATGTAAGACAAAGTGAAGTGGAAAGATGGAGCAGCTAGGGACTGGACTTAGGGAGGGGAGAGGGTCTGTGTGCTGACGGCCAGGGGGCAGGCGAATGGGGTGTACCCTTTGGTTGTTTGATGATGCATGCATGGGATTGTAATCATTGTAACGAAACGAAATAAGATAGGATGAATGTAAAGCTAATGCTCTCCCATGTAAACTATCACATAATTCATAATAAAAACTTAAGAAAAAAAAAGACAAAGTGATTAAGTAAATTTCTTATTCAATATCTACATATCCCTACTTTTCAGAGACCTGCTCAGGGACACCTTGTCATACAAGAGCTGGCAAAGTGTTAGTAAATATTGTCTCTCCAGGGCCTGAGACAATAAATATTGGCTAAAGGATCTCGGTATGGAAGAACATAAAACATAATGTAATAATCTGTGAGGGTGAAAAAAAAAATTTAAAAGGTTCCTTTATTTTTTTTTTCCTTTGTGATACGTATTTCCCATGAGTTCTACACTGGACAATTAGTACTTTTGTAATTACTAAAAAAATAGTCTTTGATTTTTTTTCAAAGAGCCTATAGACACCAACACTTTGCCAGCTCTATGGTCAGCTGGAGCAGGAAGGGCTCAGCTCAGGGATAGAAGTTACCTCTCTGCTTCTTGGGACAAGGATTCCACCTTGCGAGAGAGGAGCTGTTCACTCTGCATCAGCTGGTATACCCCGACATCTACGTCGTTGACAGGGGAGACCTTGGCATGTGGTCCTCGGGCAAACTTCACAATCTGAGGGACAAGAGCAATCACTGCTGACCTTCCTCAAATGCTGAGATAATATAATACCAAGCAGAAATGCCGCATCTTAGTACATACGTAATACATCACTGGTGGGGCAATGAATGAAGAAATAAACTTCATACCTTTTCTCCATTCTGCTCGAGGACTGTGACTCTCTTCTCTTTCTGTAGCTGCAGCAACACCAAGTAGAAGGTCCTCTCATCTGGACAGGAGCTAGCACAGAGGGTGCTTAGCTCCGACAGGGCCACCACTGGGTGGGAGGAGAGAGGGGAGTTCTGATACAGACGGTACACCTCCTCAGCCTTTTCCTGCAGGGAAAAGCAAAATGTACTTACAGCCCCTGGGACCCAGTGAGCTTGACCTCCAGGTTTCAAAGATGCGATCACACAAGACAAGAGCAGGGGAACTCCAACCCAGTCTCCCTTTAAAGCAGTATTTTTTTTTTTTTTAAATAAAATAGTACAAAGGATTTGTATTTTTTAAACCTTGAAGGAAAGTTTGCTGAATACGTTTGAAATGAGGTATATGAAATATTGGGAGCCAACTCTTGTTTGTACTTTCATTTGAGACTTTATGTTTCTGCTTCTCCTCATGGTTCCTGATGGAAGTGTGAACAATGTGGGGTGCAGGAACAAGCCATGAACTAACAGTTGAGAACTGCCTTGCCTCTGTAACCCTGGACTGGTCACTCTCTCTCTGGCACTTAGTAATCCTCTCATAAACTGAAGAGGCTGGATGAGATAGCCCGGGCATGTCCTAACCTTAGCATCTCTGAAGCCAGGTCCCTGCCCTGAACAGATGGTCAATGCACACATGGTGGGAAGAATGAAGGACACAGAAGCCATATCATCAGGGTCAAATCCAGGGTCACCAGAGGCCTCGACAAACACCTCCCTCCCACTTCAACACATCCTGGTTCCAATAACTCCAGGTCAATCATCTTTCTTTTGACCTCAGGTTTGGATCACAGTTAAAACATATTCTCCAACTTATTTTCAGCTACAAAAGACCTCTTTTTAAAGTGTTCAAAAGCAAAATGATCAATTTGAGGACTACAGTGCATGGTATTTTCAATTACCTCATAGGCATGTAAAAATCTGGACAATGAAGAATGAAGACCAGAGATGAAAATCAATACATTTGAATTAAGGTATTGGCAAAGAATATTTAAAGTACGATGAGCTGCCAGAGAACACACAAATCTGTCTTAAAAGAATTACAACCAGAATACTCCTTAGAAGTCAGGATGGCGAGACTTTGTCTCTAACCAGTCTCTGGAAAAGGACACCATGAAAAAGAGGAAGAGTTTCAACTAAATGGACTGACATCGTGGCAGCAAATATGAGCTCAAGCATAACAACAATTGTGAGGCTGGCACAGGACTGGGCAGTTTTGTTCTATGGGTTGGAATTGACTGGATGGGACCTAACAACAAGAACAAGTATTGTAACATCAAAAAGTCAAGGGAATGTGAAATTTTAAATAGCAATGTTAAAGGCAGTGTTGTTACTGTTGTTAAGTAACCTCAAGTTGATTGGAACTGATTCCAACTCATAGCAACCCTGGACAGGGTTCCTGAGGAACAACTGGTAGGTATGAATTGCCAACCTTGCAGTTCACAGTCCAGTATTAGCCTAGAGCACCACATCAGAACTCCATTAAAGGCAGTACAGGAGTTTTATAAGATAGAGATTGAATTAAATACCCATCAACAGAAGAGTAGCTACACAAACTTTGGTACAAATAATGGAATACAACAAAACACTGACAAATAATGGTGAATCTGTGAAACACCTCACAGCAAGGTTGAACATGGAGGACATTATGCTCAGTGAAATTAGTCAATCACAAAAGGCCCAATATTGTATGAGACCACTATTGTAAAAAGTTTGAAAAAAACAAAAAAGTTTTTCTTGATAAAAGTAACTATCTATGATGGTTGGGGGAGAGGGAAAATTATTCATGAGTTACAGGGCAGACACATGTTAACATGGGTGACAGGGCAGGCAATATACAACATTTTGGAGGTTAGGAGAGGAAAGACGAAGCAGGAGACACAGGGAGGAATGCAACAGTTAAAGTGAATAGAAGTAAATGCTGTTAACTGTTGGTACATGGAGGGAATTGCAACCATGTAATGAAGCAAAGTATATAATTTGTTGACTGTAAAACTAATGATCTGCTCTGTAAACATTCATACAATTCACAACAAAAAGTTGAAAAAAAACCAAAAAAACCCAGAGGCTGAAGTTTTCATTAGAGCTCACTGCCCTATCAGAAAACTGAGATGTTTCAAACAACAGCTGCAAAGATGGAAGCACTCCAACGTCTATGATAAGAAATTTGGAAGATAGCTCTCTGACTAACAAACTGCAATAGATTCATATTTGTGCCCATTTCAAAGAAAAGTGATACAAAAGTATGTAGAAATTATCAAATGTCATTAATACACATGCATACAATTTTGCTGAAGGTAATTGCAAAACAGTTGCAGTGGCGGCAGCATGTATCAAGAACGAACTGTCAGAAATTCAAGCCAGATTCAGAAAAACACGAGAACAAGGGATATCACTGTTGATGTCAGATGAATCTTGGCTGAAAGCAGAGATTATCCCAAAGATGCTTACCTGTGTTTTATTGACTAAACAAAGTCATTCCACTGTGTGGATCATAACAAATTATGGTTACCATTACAAAGAACTGAAATTTCAGAACACTTCATGGTGCTCAGACAAAGCCTGTACCCAGACTGCAGAAGAGTGACATCTTTAATGTCTCTTCTACCCAGGCTGGGGCAAGTGTGTAAAGCTGGTTCCGCCTCATAGTAACTCTGAATAGGGTTTCCGAGGAGTGGCTGGGAGCCATTGTCTTTGTAAACTCCCAGCAAGCAACTTTTGGGTCCAGGTAAGAGAAGGCGGGGGAACTGTTGATGGATTATATGATTCAGTTGTGAGTGACTGCTAACAAGGTTAACTGGTAAACTTAAAAGTCTAACATGCGTATGACATGAGCCATCTCAGAAGCAGGAAGGGGAGGGACCTCACAGCTAACCAAATAGAACCAGCAGTGGAGTACATCCTTTGGACCCCGAGATCCCTGACCCAGGGACAAAAAGCTGACACCAGAGGAGTGACAGAAGAATAGCAGCAACAGAAGCAAGAGCCAGAGCATCCGACAGAGCATCTGACAGAGCGACAGAGCAGTGTCTTCATAACAAGTAAAGCTGAGTGACATCAGGCAGGAGGCTTACTTGTAGAATGGAGTGCCTCCAGGGCATTTAACTGGGAGAGCTGAGTTTGTTGACCCATAGAGCTAGAGCCAAGTGCATTTAGGCTGAGGATTAGGGTGGAGCAGCGTGCCCTGTTGGCATTTATCAGCAGTTCTAAAAGAACTTTGTAACACTGCTGGAGCAGGGCAGAGGCCAGCCCAAGGAACTGTGGGCCAGAGAGAGGCCTGCCTGTGAGCATGGCAGAGAAAAGGCTGTCCTGACTAGAAGAAAGAACTATGCCCTGAGCATTTCTGACCCTGAATTGTTAGCTGTTAACTTCCCTAATAAACCCCACGAGAATGGTGTCTGAGTTTGGTGTGGCTACTGCAATGAATTAGTAACACAGCTAAGTAGAGTGCTAAGGGAGGGATGGTTGATACCATTTTTACACAGATCAAGAGGCAGTTATTTGAACAGAACCAGAGGATATTGCATGGTTTAAAAATCAGGAAAGATGTATGTCAGCAGTTGTATTTTTCACCATACTGATTCAATCTATATACTGAGAAGCCGGACTACATCAAGAAGAACATGGCATCAGAAATGGAGGAAGGTTCATTAACAACCTGTAATATGCAGATGACATAACCTTGCATGCTGAAAGCAAAGAGGATTTGAAGCATTTACTGATGAAGATCAAAAATTACAACTTTCAGTATGGATTATACCTCAACTATAAGAAAACAAAAAATTCTCACAACTGGATCAATAAGCAACATTAAGATAAACTGAAAAAAGTGTGAAATCGTTAAGGATTTAATTGTACTTGGATCCATAATCAACACCCATGGGTTAACAGTTAAAAAATCAAATGACTTACTGCATTGGGTAAATCTGTTGCCCCCCCCAAAAAAGGTCTTTCAAGATGTTAAAAAGCAAAGATATCACTTTGAAGACTAAGGTGCCTGATTCAAGCCTCATTTGCATGTGAAGCTGGACATGCATCTGAATTACCAGTACTGGCAAACAATACTGAATATACCATGCAATGCCAGAAGACATCAGTCTTGGATGAAGTATGTTCAGCCACAATGTTCTTTAGAAGCTATGGTGAGATTTTGTTTCACATACTTTTCAAATGTTATCAGGAGGCACCAGACTCTAGAGAGGGATATCATGCTTGGTAAAGTGGACAGTCAGTGAAAAAGAGGAAGATGTTCACTGAGATGAATTGACACAGAAGCTATAACAATGGACTCAAACACAGCAATGACTGTGAGGATGGCACAGGACCAGGCAGTATTTCCTTCCCTTGCCCATAAGGTTACTATAGTCAGAACCGACTTGACAGCACTTAACAACAATAGAAAATAACACTCTAAAGCTACTGTAATAACAGTGTGGTTGTTGTTGTTGTCAAGTGCCGTCGAGTTGATTCCGACCCATAGCAACCGTGTATAGCCATATACAAATATGTTAATGCTATACAACGTTAATAAATGGTGTTGAGACAATTGGCTACCCATTTGTAAAAATAAAGTTAGAGCCTTTTCTCCCTATATATAAAAATTCTAGAATAATTAAAATTTAAACTAAAAAATGTATAATTTTAAAGAAAATATAAAAGAATATCTGGTTAATCTTGAAGAACAGGCCTTCCTAAAACAGACCAGAAATTCAATAACCATATAAGAAATGAGTAATTTGACTACAAAAGATTGCCAACTTCTATGTCAAATGACAATCTCTCTCTCACACACACAAAATCAAACAATTGGAAAACTGGAAAACAAAATTCACATCCCTAATACTAAATATTGGGCAAATTATTGATTGATGCAGAAAGCATCAAAAGAAGATGGAAGGAATACACAGAATCACTGTACCAAAAGCAAATGGTTGAATTTCAACAGTTTCAAGAGGTAGCATATGATCAAGAGCCAATGATGCTGAAGGAAGAAGTCCAAGGTGCATTGAAGGAATTGGCAAAGAACAAGGCACCAGGAATTGACGGAATCAAAATTGAAATGTTTCAAGAAAGTGAGGCGGCACAGGAGGCACTCACTCATCTATGCCAAGAAATTTGGAAGACGACTGGCA